TACTTAAACAAACCAAATAAATGTGAGATGGGAGGCAAATGCCTACATCCCTATTCAGCATTGTAAATACAGGTAGGAAGTGCAGCACTAAAAAGTTAGAAACGTGAGCAAAGCAGGAGTTTGCACGAACAGTTACGTAACACACGGTCATCCTCCCACAACGCTCTGTCCTCATCGGCCATTTGCTAGAGTTCCTGCCGGTTCTGCAGCTGCAGAGGAATGTGAAGAATCTGGAGAAAGCCTGGGAACAAGCCAGCCGTGCAGCTGAAGAAAGGGAAGGAAAATGAAACCCGGCAGAGGTTAAAGGAAATGAGATGACTCAGTCAGGGGTGATTAACAGCAACTGGTCCTGTGTTCTGGATCAAAGAAGTCCGGATACTTGAAAGCAACTTGCCACCTTCGGGTCAAACGAATTAGAAGGAAATGAGCTTTCATTGTGGCAAAAAAGATTTAGGTTACAAATTAAAAGGGACACTAACACCTATTTAACACCTACTACGTTAGGCGTTGGTCGGGCATTATTGCATTTTAATACACATTAAGACCCTCGGGAAAAAAAAAAGACCCTTGAGGTAGAAATCCCCACTTTGCAGGTCAGAAAAGAGGGATCCTAAAAGGTAAGTTCCCAAGTAGAAAAGCTGTCATCTCAATGGGTCTAATGAGTTCAAAGTCCATGTCCTTTAAAATACATCAAATTTCCTAGTGGGACAATTGATAAACGTAGGAACCAATTATTAAAAGAAATAATGAAATCTTTTGCTTCCTAATCTTTTAAAAATTATCAGAGATTCTCATTTTCTAGTGTGTTTCATACAGCAGAGCCACCTAAAAGCACACGGGCAGAACAAGCCAGCTCTCACACGCTCTTTCAGGCCGAAGAAGTTGCGGCGTCTAGGATTCTGCAGCCGCACTGCCACCAGGCACCAGGCAGCATGTGCCGGTTCTCAGGGAACTCTCTGGGTTTCATTTTCCTCTTCTGTAATAAATTATAGCCTCATCTGCCTAAAATACACACCAAATTCTAAGACAAATTTCCATTTTCAAGGTAAACTAACTCCACACACAACTCAGGGCCACACATCCTGGGCTTTACAGCCCGTTTTTATTAGACTTCGACAGCAAATAACTCTAAAGATCGCAAGTAAGACGAACTTTCAAAAGATTTATTCAGTATAGGTCAACTACAGTTCAATAAAAAACTTCAAAAAACAAAAAAACCAAGAAAAGGAAGAAAACAAAGATTTACTGGGCTTTGGACTGTGCTCGCCGTGTCAGAGGAACGAAGAAACGAAGAAAGAGTAACTGTCTTCACATGCAAGAGAGCTTGATGCCACTGCGCGCACACACACACACACACCACCCCTCTGCACAGGACCCAAAGGCTAAGCAGGAACGGCCCACCCTGCTGGAAGGGCACCTTCTCGGTGAGGGCTGGGAACTGACTCTCCGGCTGCTCGCAACCCAGAGAGCCGCATAAAACACAACGAAGCTCACAAGGCCTGTCACTCGGCCCTGGACAAGGTCTGGAGTTCCAGGGCCAGAAAAGGCCCCAGAGCACACGCAGCCTCAGGCCGTCTCTTTCTGAGAAAGTGAACAGCTGGCAGGAGGTGCCGGACACTCACTGGCTGCGAGCGAGCCTAGCGACAGGGCCACGCCCAGGAAGGGCGGAAGTCCCCAGAACCGAGGCTCCCCCACTGCAGGGCAGCGGGGTTGGGGGGGCGGCTGGGGGCCGGGAAACGGAGCCCGACGGCCAGGACGTCCACCCCGGAGCTGCAGGACCTAGAGGAGCTCACTCCACCTCTGTGTGCTTCAGTTTCCTCATGTATAAGACATAAATCATGATGTTCACCTTGTGAGAGATGGAAAGAAACAAATCTGTGACTATGTGCAAAGCACTTATGACAGAAGCTGCGCTCAGAGCATCAGGTCTCTCTCACTGAATCGCTCTGTCCCTCTTACTGTCCCCATCCCCCTCCAATGGGCATTGCCTGCTGGCACGTGACCCGTGACAACCAGTCGGCACAGGTACCTCAAGTCCAAGGCCCACTTCTGATTCCATGGGTCCCTTGGTTCACATTCTCAAGAGAAAAAGGCTGTGGTCAAGTGTCCAACCCTGTGGGTAGGAGTCATCCTGCACCCCAAACCCCACCCCCAGCCTGCCCTCACAACTTCAGAAGGTCTGGAGTTCGCCCTAGAGCACGCCACAGTCTATGGATCTGGCAGAAGAGACGCGACTCCTGTGTCCGAGCACAGGCTGTGCCCCTCACGGCGACAGCCATTCCAGAGGGTCAGGCTCGTGCCAGTGCAATGAGATCCAAGTGCACAGGACCAGGCACGCACTGCGGGCTGTGTTACAGAAGGGAGCCCCAGCCCCTCACAGTGCGAGCGGTGCCTCCAGACCTTCTCCCTAGAGGGGAGTGCTGTCCTTGCTGCGTGAGAGCAAGCAGACCCGCCCTCTGTTGTGGACACAGCCAACATCTCTGACTTCTATGGGTGTTCACTACACAAGCAGCCTTGAAAAGACAGCCAGAGACAAAGGAGGCCAGCCCCTCTGCTCCCCCAACAATACCTAAATAAGTGGGGACACACACGCTTTTCATTGATCGGAAGATGCGATATTGCTAAAATGTCATTTCTCCCCAAAATGAGCTGTCAATTAAACACAATCCTAATAAAAATCCCAGCAAAATATGGGGGGGGGGGTAAGAAAGAATCCTCAAATTTATATGGAAATGCAAAGGACTTAAAAACAGTCAAAGTAACTTTGAAAAATAAAAACAAAGTTGGAGAATTTCCACTATGTGACTTTAAGATTTATTATAAAGTGTGTTGTTGGCATAATGATACAAAAATGGATCCACGGAACAGAAGTGAGTCCACAACTACACCTTCTCATATGTCACGTGATTTTCAACAAAGGTGCAAAGGCAACTCGGGGGAGAAAGGAGAGTCTTCAGGACAGATGCTGGTAGATCAACTAGGCGGCCGGATGCAAAAAAACCCAGCTTGGAGTTGTACCTCTCATTATACATAAATATTAACTCAGGCACCACAGATCTAAATGTAACATGCAAAACTATAAAACTAACAGAAGATTCTGCTATACAGCGCAGGGAGCTATGCTCAGTATCTTGTAATAACCTTTAATGAAAAAAAATATGAAAACGAAATACATATGTATCTGCATGACTGCAACATTGTGCTGAACACCAGAAACTGACACACTGTAACTAACAGCACTTGAAAAAAAATAATAGAAGAAAACACATTTTAAAAATCTGTGTGACCCTGAGTTTGGCAAAAATTTCTATACCAAGAGCATGTTTCATAGAAGAAAAAGAAAAATTAAATAAACTTCATCAAAATTAAGAACTTCTGTTCTTAAAGATGCTCTTGAGAGAGTGAAAAGACAAGCAACTGACTGAAAGTATCTGCAAACTGCACGCCGACAAGGGCTTTGCCGGCAGGAAATACACAGAACTCTTAATATTCAACTGAAACCACCTGATTTGCTTTTAATGGGCAAAAGATATGAACAGACATTTAATCACAGAAGATATATGGGTGGGCAAATAAACACAGGAAAAGATCTTCACCATTATTAGTCGTAACATGAATGCAAATTAAGACCACAGTGATTTGTCACACCCTTCCTGGAACATCTACAATTGAGAAGAACTACCACACAGAGCACTGACGAGGATACGCAACAACAAGCACACCAACCACCTCGGGGGCGGGCGGTGCGGAGCAGCACGGCCGCTTCGCAAGACAGGGCGGCAGTTTCATACGAGCCGGCCACCCCACTCCTAGGTGTGTACCCCAGAGAAATGAAAGCATACGTCCATGCAGAACAAACAATACTGTTCACAGCAGCTTATGTATGACAGCCAAAACCCGGGGACAACCCAAACGTCCAGCAGCAGCCGAGGACATAAAGCGGCTGCAGCACATCCACATCACAGAATACTACTGAGCAATAAAGAGGAGCCAGCTGGTAACACACACAGCATGGGCGGACCTCAGCATAATCCTGCTGAGTGAAAGCAGCTAGGCAAAAAAGAACACAGAATGTCTAGTTCCATTCATATGAGCTTTTAGAAGACGAAAACCAACCTGCAGTGCGGAGAGGAGATGAGTGGTTTTCTGGGAAGAGGGGAGCAGAAGGCCGGGACGGAGGGACCCAGGGAGCACGGGCACCTTCGGAGCGACAGGTACACTCACCATCTTGACTGTGGTGATGATTTCATGGGTGTACACTTACGTCAAAACTTATCGATAGTTGCTTAAGTGTGTGCAGTTTACTGCATGTCAATTAAAAAAAAACCTGTTACAAAAAATTAGCATTTATCACCAAATGGAACCGAAGCTCAAAAAGAGAGATTGATCTGAATAATGAAAACACAAGGGAAGTTAATTTCGTGCACACATGAATGAAATATGCCCCTACTGAAGACATAGTGCTAAAAGTGACAATGAACAGACTGGGACAAAAGTGAGGTTACACTGGTGGTGAGGAAGAGGAGGAGGAGAAACAGTAAAGACAGCTTTTATCCCAAAGAAAACAAAAGCCCCTCCTCCACTAACACACGTGACTTCAGGGCGGCACTCTCCCTCAGACACCCCTTCTTTTCCCCACACTGCTGAGCCGCAGGGTCCCCTTCACCTGGGGTTCTGAGCCGTGGGCCACACACGCAGTGCTGTGCTCACCCCAGAGAAAGGGACCGGCTAAGGCCACCCACTCGCTGTCTTACTAGATCATTTTGCTTTGCGTCGCAGAATCGTAACTAAATTGAAAGCAACACTTTAGAAGCAGAACTAGGAATGACTGAGCACGCCAGTGAGTTTTTCCATCATTTGAAACCTCTTTTTAAAATAAGTAACAGCGCCTTGGGGAGATCAATCCTAGCTTCCAACACTGCCTACTCCCTCCCGCCTCCGTGGGGCAGGGGCACAGGCCGCCCGCAGGGTGCACAGGGCACAGGGAGGCCCCTCCTTACCACTCAGCAGCCACCAGAGCAGAGGGATGAAGCCTGGGCTCTCACTGATGTACTTCAGGCCCTTCAGGTTGATGCTCACGTTGTACAGGGACATCAGCATTAACCTGAAACGTAAAAGAGAACGGTGTTGAAATGCTGGTGCCCCCACCGTTTCACTCAAAACACATCTCCTGGCTCATGTGGCCTTAGCATACGCAGGGCTGTCCTCACACGTCACATGTCCGGCTCTGTGGTCTGGAAGACAGGCACAGCAAGCAGAAGGCATGTGAGATGCTACTTGTCTCTGTGAAGCTACATGAAAACGGGACACTAGCAATAATGCCACATAACACCATGATTAAGCTCACATAATCAAGAGACACGAGTGCAAAGCAGGCACAGGAAACCTGAAAGCCACCGCACTGAGCAGTCTCTTTGGTTACCAGCCTGCGTTTATCTACCAGTGACCCTCAGCTCACCAGGACACTGCACACTGGGAGCCCAAGTCACGGCTTACAACCTAGTCCCATCTGCCATTCGCTGAGCGCCGCCCACAACGTCTGGAGGCCGGCGCGGCCACACACCCTGTCTACGCCACAGCACGAGGGAAGAAGGGCGCCACACCACAGCCCTACGTGTCCGGGGTCACGCGGGGCTTCACAGGTGGTCTTGGGACTGAGCGCGACTGCTAACGCAGAGTCGGATGAAAACTGGAAAACTACAGACTGGCTTCTGGTAACACTGCGGAGTACAGAGACCCCAAAACCTTCACACTGCACAGCAACAGAAAAAGCAACACAAATATTTTGCAAACCGTTGGAAAAAATGGATGAGCTTGCAAGAAATGAAGGGAAAACATCAGATCAGGAACTTAGTGGGAGCACAAATTTAGGAAGGTGAGCCCTAAAGATGACAGATCCCAGAGGCACAGAGTGTCAGTGCTGGCGCCTCGTGCAGAGGGACACGAAGAAAAGCCTCAGACCGACGCAAGACAGGGATTCGGAGCACAGAGCCCTGCAGAGAGCCAGGCAAGAGTAAGCTGTCAAGCGTGGTGTGAGTCCATACTTCTCGTATGGCCTGAAAATCCCAACCCCATCATTCTAATAAAGAAAGGAGGCCTGGGATAGGAGCTGCTCCAGCTGCCTGGCCAAAGTAAACGTTCTCTTAAAGGAAAGGACCCTCAAGTTGGTCTTCAAATAATTCCCACAAACACAGTGGTAACAATCGTGAGTTCAGAGTGAAAATGACAAAACGTGAAAAATAAGACCCCAGGACTCAGAGCCAGAGACACAGCACCTACAAGCCATCAGATACTGCAGTGTCCATGCAGAACAGCACGTTGATAGCATAAGTAATTCAGAAAGAAGCTGAAAACACCATCAAGGAGCTCAAAAGAGAGCTTGCAACAAAGGGAACGATAAGAACCCGACTGTAAAGCTCACGGGGAACCGACACTGAAAAAGGAGAAAGACTGAGCAGAAGAGAGAGCTGAAGAAATCGCAGCAAACAGCCAAGCTAGGGAGGAGGCAGCCCAGGAAGGCGGGCGCCAGCACAAGCAATGCACTCAAAACGCGAGGCAGGTGCCGAGGAGCCGCGCGGAGCGCGAGGAGGGCCCAGAACGCGGCGCAGGCTTCGGCCGCCGACCGCCGCAGGGAGGCCGGG